CCTAGTATGTGTTGTCCTCAAACTAAAGTCACTATGAAAGATGTTAGTGTACTTTCTGAGGAATAGCCTGGTCTTGATGACACAATACAAATAAGGACAGAAATTTCTCCAATGACCGAATGATATAAGGTCCATTATTTCTTTTCTTCCCCAATCTGTAGGCTTTCACACACACCTAAGCTAGTTTGGACCTCTGAACTTCAAATACTCCAAGATCAAGAGAATTGGAGGAACTGGGACCAACCCTGGATATTGCTAATTTTTGCTAAACATTTTTTAAGTGTTTTATACTGTCATATCTTTATTTCAACAATAGTTACAAATAAAAACAACTTTAACGTCCAAGAGTTTCTTCTCCTTAATCTTAGAACCTAACCAATCTAAGTTACTTCATCTTAACTCACTTCACATTTATCTTCTCATATCTTTAGTGGTTGGTATTTAATGGGAATTAATGAGTGTTTAATGAAGGAAAAATTGACACATAAACAAATGACCAATAATTTGGGAAACAGACGATTGTGGAGGAGAAAATAGACAATAAATCAAGGAAACACGGGGAAAAAAAGTTATTTTCACTGGCAATGATTCAACTAGCAATTTTTTTTCTTCTTTTCAGTGAGTGTATATACGTGTTTTGTGTGTGTGGATAATTATGTGTGTACTTGTGTGTTCCAGTGTGCTTCTCCATGCAAGCACATGTGGACACAAGACAGTTCTATCACAATGTCTTCCTCACTTGTTTCTCCACCTTGTTTTTGGAGACAGGCTCCCTTGCTGAACCTGGGGTTAATTAACCTGGGGTTAATTAACCTGGGGTTAATCTTCCCAGCTATACTGGTTTGCTGGTGAGCCCCAGAGATCCACTTCCAAGTGCTGGGGTTATCAACTATGTCTGGCATTTATTTGAGTACTGGGCATCTAATATTAAGTCCTCTTGTTTGTACAGTAAGCATCTTGTCCACTGAGCTCTTCTTCCCAATTTTTTTCTTAATTACCATATAATTTGTCAAAGAGTGCCACACTACCCAAAGTAATCAGTCATGTAAATAACTTCGGCTCATGTGATTTTATTTCTCAGGAAATGGGTATCATTTCATCACCATAAGGATTATCCTGGTTGGAATCAGTTAGCAACTTGTCTCAAATATGATGTTACTATTATTACAGTGGTGGATTCAGTGCAAGGACCTCTAGTGTGTGCAAACTCTGGAACAGGGCATCTCAATTTTCTCATGACTGTGAGTCACAGGGAGAGCTGGTGGAATCAGTAAGTATTCATTTCTGACAACTTCCTAAGCCTTAAAGTTCCATCCAGACAGCAAATTTAAATAACAAGGTCTGATTTGTATATGCATACCCCCTGTAGTAATAATATGCCAGTGGCTTAACACTAATTTGGTATGCATTGAATTTTTTTTTTATTTAAAAGCTTTATAGGTTTAACTAATACAAATATGGAAGGAAGTACACATACTGGTATGGTAGAACAGCTGATGTAACTTCTCATACTATAAAAATCATTTTTAAGACTATATTCTAAGAAATCTGGTTCAATGGTATTTATAAAGAATATAATTTACCTCTGTTGTTTTGTAAGCAGTTATACTCACTCTCAAACACCAACATGTCACCGAATTGTTCACTTTTAACTATCTGCCATTGTTCTCTGGAAGGGTAGAGGTATTATTTACTGTTTCAGTCTCCATATCTCCCAGGTGGCACTTTATTGAATTGCCATTGGCCTTCGCCGGGGCAATTACACTTTCTCCTTAGCTTTCTTATTAGTTTTCTCTCCTCCGTTTTCTTTAGTCACAAGTAATTATGGTATTATTAGCTTTCTGAAATTTCTGTAACAGAGAAGGCCTATGACGAAAAGCACACACAGCAAGAGACAGGAATTGTGAGGAAAGAATTCATTAACATCCTAAAGGGAAAAATGGTAATCAGTATTTTAATTTACTTTAGATAGGTTATCAACATCCTCTCTGAGAAAACCACTAACTAAGAAGTTCACATATTAGTAGATATGAGAACAGGGAATTTCCTATATCCCTGGGCCTTAAAAAGAAGCACAGCTAATAGGTTAGAAATGGAATGCAAACCTCTGACAATAAAATTGAGTACCTATCTGTAGGTTTTCAGCTGAGTCCATAGCAGGTATTATTATTCCAGACTCATTAGTGAAGCATGAAAATGTCTACAAAGATATTTTAGGAAACACAAGATAGAAGAACTTTGAGAATGTGAGTTTCCATAGTTCACATACCACACAAAGGCAGAACAAATTCAATGACCTCTTTCTAAGAATTTCTTCAGGGAAAAGCATTAAGCTGAGTCTGACATGCATTGTTCTTCCTTGCTCCTCATCCCAGTGACCTCTAACCTTGACTGTTTAAACATGCTCCAGCATTTACCCTTTACACAATATCCATACTTCTACAAATGCCTTCTTGCATATTCATTGCTTCATTGCACAACAGGTCTGAAATGTCCTTCTGTTTCTTATCTTCCTAATTAATTTCTATATATTTTACAAGATTCTGTGAGGATCACTTACTCTGTGAGGCTTTCTCCAAAGACCCTCAGGGAATATCAGTTTCTTATTCTAGTCTACTGTAGAGTATATTTCATATATGACTACCTGAAGTCTTACAATGTTGTGATAATTAATATCTCTCTCTGAACTATGCATCCTGAATTCCATTATTGAAATGAGACTGTGTTTTGTTAGTTGTTCCTGGAACCTCAAATACCTTCTTTCATTGTTCACTGGTGAATGTTAATAATTCAGATTAATAAATGTAAATGAATAATTTCACTTTTTATTTTTTTATGTTCCTAAATTTAGTATTTCCTGTTTTGAATGTTTCTTTCTTTCCTTAGGATTGTTATTTGAAAGTATAGATTTCTGAGCTCATCCCATTTGTCCAGTTTGATTGCTCTTGAAATTTTGTGTTATTATCTCTTTATAAGCAATTTGACCCATGGCCAATCTCATGATAATTTTAAAGATACCCTTCTATAGATATGTATTTATTTTTACTTTTTGTTTATTTGATTGATTCCTTACCTTAATATATTACTGCCCACCTCCACATACTTCTGCACACAACCATCCATCTCTTTCTCCTTTCCAAGTTTCTTTAGAGAAATGACTCCTTACTTTCCACTTAGCAGGGCCGACTTTCTCTTTGCTTTCTTTCTTTTTCCTTTTTCTTTCTTTCTTTCTTTCTTTCTTTTTTTTTTTTCAAGACAGGGTTTCTCTGTGTAGTTTTGGTACCTGTCCTGGATCTTGCTCTGTAGACCAGGCTGGCCTCGAACTTACAGAGATCTGCCTGGCTCTGCCTCCCAAGTGCTGGGATTAAAGGTGTGTACTACCACTGCCCGGGCATCTCTTCCTCTTTCTTGATAACAGTCCTCTAATATTCTGGCTTATTTAGTAAGGCCTTCATAATTTAGAGCTCTTTCTTCCTGGAGTTCTTTTGTAAATTTGTTTCAGTTTTTCAACAAACTTTAGGTGACGAGAAACATTTTAAAACTTTCATTGTCATTGTCTTTGCTCTCTAATTTTGCATCTTGTTAGATATAATGGACATGTAAAATAATTCCGCGTGTGCCTGTGTGTGTGTGTGTGTGTGTGTGTGTGTGTGTGTGCGTGTGTGTGTGTGTGTGTGTGTGTGTGTGAGAGAGAGAGAGAGAGAGAGAGAGAGAGAGAGAGAGAGAGAGAGAGAGAGAGAGAGACGTGTTAGTAATGTCACACAGACAGCCAAAAAGAATACCAGGCGCCCTGGTCTGTTGCTCACCATTTTAATTCCTTGAGAAGGTCTCTCAGAAACTTGGATTTCTAGGATTTTCTTTATCAGCTGGGCTGGAGACCAGCAAGCCCCAGTAATCCACCCAACTTCAAGGATGTTGTGAAAATCAAATGAAATACTATGACTGGAAACATTCTGCAAATTTTAACAGACTGCAATGTGTGACACAGCTTTTTAATATGTCTTCATGACACACACCCACAGGGAAGATAGTCAGAAAGAGCTCCCTGAGTCTCAACTCAAGTGGCTGAATATGTCCCACAGGTTCTAATAAAGCAATAACAGGAAACTTCTTTTCTTCTACCCATCCTCCACCAGCCAGATATCATATACAAATTATTACAATGCTTGGCAAACAATTTTTTTCAACCTTTTCCATCTGTTTACTAAATGTGACCTCTTGTGTTCTGCTTCTTGCTTTACTGACTGACCATGAAATACATCTTGTCAGTTCTCTCTTCCATTTTGCCTAGGCAGCTGTCATGTACCTGGAACACTGCTCCCCACTGCTCTGGCTGCTTTTCTCTCCCGTGGACTCCTCTTTCCCTCTACTGGCTGCCAAGCAGAAGCACATTTATTGGCCTTGCCCTCGGACAGATGCCTGCCTTCTTCCCTTCCCCCTCTCTCTTCAGCCAGCAGTCACCTGCCAAGGGCTGGTAGTTGCTGCCTCCTCTGTCCACTGCCTCGCACTGCCTCTGTTCAGGTCCCCTTTTGCAGCCTCTTCCGAAGTCCCCTGCCCCCGTTTGCCAGCCTGGCATGCCAGCAGTCTCCCTCCAGCTCCTGCAGTTCTCTGGGCTCTTTCCAGACGGCCCCCTTCCCCCTCTGATCTGTTCTCAGCATCTTCCTCTCGCCCTTGTCAGCTGTTTACCCCTGGAGCAGGAGGGGTGGGGGTAGGGGGGTGAGGAGCTCTGCTCCCTCTTAAGGACCCTGTCTTTGGAGTCATCAAATGTGTGTTCACCACTCATTTGAAGAGGGCAGTTTAACGCCGACTCTGAATTTGACTGCTCTCCGACCAAAAACTGTGCTGATTCCCTGACCCTATTAGGTAGAATACAATGATCCCGGGAGATACCAGGCCACAGAATTAGGGACCCTCACAAAGTTTTTGATGGCAGGTTTGCCATCTCCATCTCACAAACTTGATCAGCCTTGGTTACTGACCCACACCATCAAGCAACTCACAGGAACCTGGGTGTTGTTCTGATTTCCAGAGCCAGGGATCTCTTTGAACCTCTCCAAATAAGATGCCAAATACTCTTCAAGACCAGGCCTGGTCTTCTCCTCAGCTTCCAGCAGGGTCCACAGAGCAAGCCCCACCCAAGCACTGGTTAGGGAGGGGAGCACTGTTTTTAGATGTGAGGTTAGGGGGCGGGGAAGATGTAGGAATGTATTCTTCCGGGGGTCCTAGGTATCAGGTTTCTGGGTGAGGGCAGGTAAAAAGAAAAAAGAGTTCATCACCAATTAGAGCCCTGCTCAAAGGCCCGGTACCTAATCCAGGGCTTCATACGGTAGCCAAGAGGCAGCCTTTACAAGCCTTCTCCTTTAAGAAGCGCGCCTGCGTGTGTTTCAGGCCTTGTGTACCCGTGTGTGTGTGTGTGTGTGTGTGTATGTGTGTGTGTGTGTGTGTGTGTGTGTGTGTGTGTGTGTGTGTGTGTGTGTGTGTGTGTGTGTGTGTGTGTGTCTAGGACGGAGCGTGCGCGCGCGCGTGTGTGGTTTGAGTGTGTGCACGCGCGGGGCCCCCGAGAGCATCGCAGACCCCGAGAAGGAGGAGCTATGTAGATTCCGGGTGAACGTTCTGGAGGGGAGCGGAGAGGAGGGAAGGAACAGCAGAGGCACTGAGCTGGGAGCGGCGGAGGCCCTTCCCGCAGAAACTGGGGGCACCGGCGGCGTAGGAGGTGGAGGAGGCGGAGGACGCACGGGTTGGAGGCGGCGGCTGCGACTCAGCGGCGCTGGGAGTCGGAACCGCGGCTGAACTTGGGCGCCACGTTCCGGGCGACAGCAGGGCGAGGATGGTGAACACTCGCCGCCGCTGACCCTGCCTTTCCTCCGCTCCTCCCAGCCTGCCTGCTCCGGCGCTGGTCTCCTCCCCTGGAGGGGTGGGTGAACCTGCAAGCTCCTTACCCACCCGAGGACTTTTTTTTGAAAGGAAACGAGGGAGTGGGCATTGGGAAAGAGGGAGAAAACGCAGGGGAGCTCGTCCATCCATAGAGGCACAGTTCACTATGATCTTACTCGCATTCAGCACTGGAAGAAGGTTGGATTTCGTGCATCGTTCAGGGGTGTTTTTCTTGCAAACCTTGCTTTGGATTTTATGTGCTACGGTCTGCGGAACGGAGCAGTATTTCAATGTGGAGGTAAGAGTACAGAGCTTTCTTCCTCTCCCCTCGGCTGGCTGCTCCCTGGAACCTTTCCTTCAATCGTCGGATCCTTGCATCTCGGAGCACATTGTTTCCCTTGCAGCCAGCCACCAAAACCCTTGTTGAGTTTGCCAGTGTTGTAGGTGATGGATGCCTGGAGACCGACAATCCGTTATCCCCAGCTGCACAAAGCACGATGTTGCACGCTCGGAGACTCATTGTAGCATGCTGGTGCTGCTTAGCCAGGGAAGAGGCAAAGCTCAATCTAGAGCAAACGTGTAGCTTTATAAGAAAGCTTGAGTTTATACTGGATACACAGCTAGGGAAACAGCATTGATGGCTGGCATCATGTGCCGCCTGGGTATTGTTCCTGCAATATTTCTCCTTGTGGTCTGTGCCTAACAAAGGGAGGATAAAAATCAAAGAATCCAAAGAGAGCATGGGAATACTTGATATGCTTAATAACATCACTTTGTGATAAAACACTCGAGCAGACAGTGTCTTTCTATTAGACATAACTTAATACACTTGTAACTAGATCTAACTGTACCGAGCACATGAAATCCATCGCCTTTAAGTGCCTACTCTCTCCCTTCCCAGGGGGGCTGGAAATAAACGTGGCCCCGTCTAGTAGTTCGGAGGTGTGTTTTTAATTTGAATTCACACTGACATGACAAAGCCTAGATGTCTTAGATTGCCATTTGTTTTACTGTGATAGTTTTGGGAACAAACAGCAGAAGCAATTGGGAACTTAAGGATAAGGACTTGTCAGACCTTTGCCAAAGCGCTCTTCCTGTCATCAGCTGAGCACTAAAGCTAGTCATGTGCAGTAAATCAATGAAAGGCGTGCACACCTGGGCTGTGACACAGTTCCTTCCATTAACCTTACACATAAGGTTGACACTGTGGCAGGGTCTGGGTAAAACAAACTTCTCTTGATTAGCTCCCATGGCTTCATATATCTCGAAAGAATTAAGACCGAAATCGCATTGATTGGTGTGATACTTGCGTTGTTGTCTTGAAGCTTCCTGTTGTGGTGTTAGGAGCTTATGTTTATACAATAGCAGGACCTGTTGCACAGGGTTTGAACACGTTTCATGCAGCCAGTTTATAAGCAAAGTGTTTATAATAAGTGCCATGTGTGCAGGCAGAGGCTTCTAGGGACCGTCCTTTGGACTCCATATAATGGGGCAGAAGCAATGTATTTGAAAAAGTAAGCACCATCATCACAGGAATTAAGGAAGTCTGCAGGTGTTAAGTAGGAATCTGTTTCAAAGAAACAACAATTTGAAAACCAAAATAGTTTAACCCTTTGAAGCACAGAGCTTGATATTTCTACCTGAAAACAGCAATGGAAAGAAAGGTCCAGACTTTTCATGATGGCAAATTTGAACTTTTGGAACTACATGCCACTATAAGTTTTGTACTAACATTTAACTCAAGAGATAATTTAATTGAAATAAAGGAGTTATGGATTCATAGACTGAAGGAATGAAAATGGCAAGCTGTAGTTTATAATGCTATATACAGAAGGGGCTGTCGCTTGGTGGGAAAGGAGACTGGTGACGGGGTGAGGGGGAGGCTGTTAGAGTAAGTGCTGGCCAGCATCTTGCTTCCTGTGGGAATCTGAGCATGGGTGGATAGCTACCTGCTTTGGGAAACTAACTTACATTTACAAGATGGAATGACATTACTGTTTTGATGATTATTAGGTTTGTTTTGTGAGACTAAATATAGATTAGATTGTATTTCCTTATGTTGGAATCTCTCGGTCAGTTCAACCAGATGTTACCTGAAAGAGGTTGAGGCATTTTATAAAAGTGATTTCATATTGAATTTCAAATATCTCTTTCTGTCTCTCAAGATTTATGTGAAGGGTAGTGCACAGAGCCACTTTCCCATTTTGTGGGGATATTTAAGTTTTTCCAGCCATGTTTATTGCACAATGCAAAGATTTATCTGACAGATGAAAGAGTCATGTGCCCTCTGAGACCTTAGTAAGCTTACTTAACACAAAGAGAATTTTCTAATGATTTATAGGAGATTGTGATTCACAGTTTGTATTATTTCCAAGTCCCTTTGGAAGCTCCTTAGCACTTCTTTGGTTGGATTTCTAAGCATATGTGTGTATATATGTGTGTGTATTTATGTATATATTATACATATTACAAGTAGCTGATAGTAAATATACAGCTAGCTGTTAGTAAAATCAAAATATTATACAGGACATAAGATAATAGGACATATCTGACTTGTGTTTATACCTGATGAAAGTTGAGTAGATATTTCTTTCTAATAGGAAATGCTAAAGGGAAGAATATTACATTATTTCTTTTCCAGGAGAAAAGAAATTGTGCTCTATAGTCTTGTTTGAAAAACATACATACTGAGGTTGTTTTATTCCATTGATTCTCAAAGGCAATCTTTAAAAAAAGAAAAGCAGTAATATCGTCAAACATGCTTGAGGCTCATAGAATCCTGATTTTTTTTTTTAAGTTATTAAGTTGGACCAGCGCTTTGGAGAGATACCTTTTGTGCTGACAACTAAGATTGCAATGCTTTATTCATTGCAGAACTTAATTTGTGATTCTCCCATAGTTTTGTCTGTATGATTTAAGATTGAAAAGCCTGTATTTTTTTTCCTGTAGGAGGGGTTGGGCAGAGATATTCATGTTAACTCTTTCCTGTTTGATTTTTTAAGAAAATAAACATTTAAAAAATGACATTTTTAAGAAAGTAAACATTCCACTTTCAGAATAGATGCTAGAAAAATTTTGATATTCTTATGAAAGCCAATGATAAAGGGATATTTTTGAGTTTTTGAAAAGGAAATGAAGTATCTATTAAATCAAGAAAGAGATTCTATCAAAGGTAGTACTATTAGTACTATGGATAGATCCCCTGCGTTTCTCAACCCCTCCTTAAGTTGTCGGTGAATATTCATTCACTGAAGTCTCTCTGTATCCTCGAAGTGGGAATAGTGTAAGTCACCACGTTACAAAGGAGTAGCATGACTAATATTAACCAAAAGTCAAAAACTGCTGTCATTGGACAACAGTCTAAAACTGAGACAAATTACTAATAATAAATTGTGATTTAATTCCTACAGTTTTAAAATCATTTTATTCTTAATGTCATTCCCGGGAACTGGAGATTTTCATGATTCTGGGGCTTATTTTCGGGGTGCACACATTTTTTGTTATGAAATTTGAAATACTTTATAGTTCATGATGGCAATAACTTATCAACTTTTACAGCATGTCATATGTATGAACATTTCTAGATTGATTTTCAAACAATAATCCATTTTTGTTAAGAGGGAAACCATTTAAAGCAGCTTTATGGTAAAAGTAAACCATGTAAAACTGAATGGTGCATAGAGCTAAGTGGAAGATGATGATTATGGTTTTTGGGGAAAACAATCTTACTGAGACAAAATTTGATATCCTTATATCAGAAAAATAAGATTCCATATGCCATATGAATAATTTCTTGAAAGAGTTATACATTGTGAGTGTAACTCTTTCTTAAATTTTCATGTAGTTTGTTTATATAACAGGTTGTTACCTGATCAGTCTTTTCAGGTTTCTCTGATCTATTTAAAATGTCAAAGTTTCGTTTGGATAGCTATGTACTGCATTTGAAATTGCCAGTAATTCATTATGAGATGTTTTAAGAGATAAAAGCACTTCTATTTTATAGATTTAAAAGTACTGTATGTTGAGATGCTTCTTTTCTTATTTCTTGGTTTCTGTTTGCTTAAATGTTTAAGACTCATTATTTAATTTGCTCATAAAAAATATGTCCACCTCTAACCTCTACCGACAGCATTTCATAAGTCTGTGTCAGAGCAGTTATAGCTGATCTGCAACAAGGTCCCTGTGATTAATTCATAAATGTGTGGATCTGCTGTGGAATTGTAGGCTGAACGAGACACTCCATATGTGCTGGCCACCTGAAATGTTTCAGAGGACCTAAATCTATAACCAGAGGACCAGGAGTTAACAGTCCAAGGCTCTCCAGCTTCTCACTTTCTCTGCCTTTCTCTCTGGAAGTTGCCTAGACAGGTTTTGCCCAAATGTAGAGTTCTTTAGGAAGCCCTTCTGAAGGCATACAGACTAGGGAGGCACCTTTGTCCTGACATCACCTAGAAAAGTCCACTGAGACCTGCAGGTCCATCTCTGCCTGTGCAGCAGGATTTTCTTTTTGAGACCCTGCTAGAAAATAAATATCAAGTTAGATTCAACAACTGCTTTGTTACCTTTAATGTCAAGTTAAAAGTGATGTATTGAAGTTTCTTCTTTTTCTCCTTCAGACTATGTAGTTACTAAGTAGAAAATCTTAATGAACTTGTTCAGATTAATACTTATTTTTCTAAAGTTGGATTAGTGTTATTACATGTTAATTTATTTCATTTCAAGACCCTCTGCAGCTACTCACAATGTACATGTTCTGAAGATTTGTAAATGACTAATTAGAAGTTTTCAGGCCACAAATGAATATCCATGAAGATATTTGACTCCATGTGTTTGATTTATTCAGTGTTGGAAGAGCAAGATTTATTTCCTCATGCTCCTTTGGGAATTTTCTGGCCCCTTTGCCTGTGAATTTTCAACTGTGGTAGTTCCTTTACTCATTACTTTTCACTACAGTTTATTTCAGTATCCGTGGATGTAGTTATGCCGATCGCCGCATTGCCTTTTGTGGAGCAGTGCGCTTATGAAGAGCATGTATCCTGACACTAGATTCCCTGGCCTCTATCTAATCCCGTTTGTTCCGCTGGAGCGCTCATCAGGCTCTGGAAGACACAGCTCACATATCTGAGAGAGGAGGATGCTATTGGCTCTATAGCTTGTTTTGGTGATTGAATGAATATATGCACGTATATTGTTGGAATCATTTCCTTGCATGATACGCTTTAGATATATCATTTTTACTAGTTTTAAATCAGTATTAAGACACAAGACATTGACATGATGGCAATAAATTACATGATA